TCATAATTATCTAAACTTTCTTATTTATATCTCCTTTGATTTATCATCCCAAGTGATCAAATACTCTCCATCATCACTCATTACTCCATATAAACAATTAATTCCAAAATGAATAGACTATTCAGTTCGAAACTCTCCATTTTATTATTTCCTAATCAAATTAACATATTCTCCATTCTTACTTATAAGAATACTTTTTGAATTTATATATTGCTAAGGGAATCTTGCATTGTTGTCTAATCCACTTTTTATCGGAATATCTCTAGTTTTTGTAAATTATTTATTGTGATTATTCATCTCATAAACAGATATCTATTCTTTATTATTTGGTGTGAATGTGAACATATTATTATCAATAAAGCATACTCGATATCCATAATTATCAATTGTTATCTTTTATATTACTTTCCATTCTTTATTATATTCTTATTATTCTATTATTAATATATATTAATCATATCCACATGATACAACTCTATTTTATTATTAATTCAAACTTAATCCATATATATATTTAGAATGATCATTTATTGTTTATTAACACAACCATTCATTCTTATTTATCCAAAATTTAAGAGTACAATCATCACTCCCTGATATAATTAGATCTTCATTAGTATTTATTATTAAACATTAGATAAAACCATTATGTCCATTTAATATTTATTAATAGCTCCATAAATTATTTTAATTCTATTTCCATATTATTATAGATTTATCAAAACTTCCAGATATAAACTATTTAGATTTCTGCATGAAGTTTAGAGTAGTTACCAAATCCTTATGTTAATTTAATGTTTAAATTAATTTGATCATTCCTTATTTGAATTCAAATACTTTAATTAGTGAACTACATCCAGCCACCAATGTTGAACAATCTTTATCAATAGCTATAGCTAAACACCAATTACTTTATGAAATTTAACATTCTTAGATTAGTAAATAATTGAAAGGTTTGACATTCAATTGATTACTAGATTAATTTGTTGATGATGGGGGAATATTCGTTTTAGTATTTACTGATTACATTTCTTAATTCATATTGTTTATATTGATTTATTATTATTAATCGTTTTGTATAGTTTTATAAGAACCTAATTCTAAACTCAACAACAGTTGCTGACATTAATTATATGCATCAAATTAATTAAATTATTCTAATTTAGGATTCAATTTTGAAGTCCAACAAAGATTGGTTTTCCAAATCTCTTGGATATCTACATCGGAATCAGCTTAATTTGACTCCAAAAGCATAAATTCTAATTCCTCAAAAAAACTATATTGAGAAGATTATGATCGCTGTTTTTAATACGTTACATTTTGTAAGAATTTAGATGAAAATTATAAAGAGAGATAAAGTGTGAATATAAAATTAAATTTTAATCGTTACTAGATTTAATCTTTTTTTTAACATGATGAACTATCTCAATAATAAGTATAATGACCAATATTAATACTATAAAAAAGAAAGTAACAACAAGAAAATATTTTTTACTTCCTCATCCTTTCTCTGCGAAATTACCTCAAATGTTTTAGAAGTCTATCAGTATTTAAAAGAGAAGTGAGTAAAATTTTGATTAAGTCTATATAATTAAAAATAAATTTTAATCCTTTTTTTATTTAATAGCCCATTTTATTATTTTCCTACTACTATCGACAAAGAAAGAATAATATAAGTCTCTTAAATGCACTCTTAAATTAATAAAAGGCTATCTAATATTCTAATTATCTTTAAACTGTCTACTTAATTATCTCTTATACTATACAAATTCATGTTAGTATTCATTAATTTATTTTATTCAAGCTTTAATTATTTTATTGAATCATAATTTTTATGAGTATCTTTATCTATTTTATTTACTCATAATTCAACCTTATATTCATAATTAAGATTAAAATTTGCAACTCAAAATTCATCACTTCTATCATTCAAATTTTGTATATTTGTATGAGTATATTATGAATATAGATTCGCGATGTTCAAATATATTTTAACTTAAAACTGTTGCAAGTTATCTTCTGAAATTTAGGATAATAAAATAATTTCAGATAAATATTGCATCAAATTTAAGTTTTTCTTCGCTTTAACATAGTTTCTTAATTATTTCTAAATTCTTTAAATGAAATATATAAAATTATATGGCTCCTTTTTATTTTTTTTCAAACTATAGATATATCCTTTAATTCAATTTCAGATAGGCAATTAATATATTTGTTTTTATATAATTAATCTTCAAATAAAAGAACTTAAGTTCTTAAATCTAATTACTAAGTTTCCCTTATTTTTACCAAAATGTAAGATATCAAATTAAACCTTAAATAGTTCTGAATTTAAATTGGTAATGACTGGTAGCTTATGTCCTTTAGAGCAATAAAAATCTTTTTCTTTTTCTATCATTTTTGGTTTTTACATTTAATTAAATAATAAAATAAATTGAGGATTATTTCACTTTTATATTACGATTTTTAATAATTTAAATTAAAGGGTACTTCTCTCAATTTTCAGCAAGGAAAAGTTTTCCTGACTTTTAACTTGTTTAAATCATATTGTTTCAACAATAGAGCTCATAAATTAGAAGTTTTTTTGAAACAAAAGCAAAAGTTTATTAGGGTATAGTTCTTTGCAATTAATTCTGTTTAGTAAAAAAATCGTTTCCTGCAATATTAGCTTATTGATTAAAGCAATTTACAGATAATAATACTTCTGTAATACTTCAATAACACTAATTTTTATTAATTAAATGGTTATTATCATTATTATTTTCTAAATGATTGTGAATGTCCTAAATATTTGTCAACTTTAAGTGGATTATATTCTAATTTTTAACATTTTCACTTCTTATTTAAATCATGATACCAGCATCTTATATCATAAAAACATGCCATTTTAATCTATCATTTCAGATCTTATATATAAATGCTAATGGTAATTCTCCTAATCATTATTATATTCTGAATCTCATTTATAGTAAACGGATTATCAAAATTGAATTATTCTTCGTCTTTATAAGTCTTAGTGTTCCTGGATTTCTATAAAATCATAGATTTCTATGTAGTAAGCCATAAAAGCTTTTAATTTTATTTTCACATTTTTAGCCTCTATTCATAAGTTTATATATATTCCATATATAAGCATTTTTTATAGCAGACTACCCCTTTTCCAAACAAGAGAATGAATCCTTATATTTCTATGATAATATATTAATAATCATTACCAAATTTATGTTGATTTTTTGGTATATTGATATTTTGACTATTGGAATTCTTAATTAAATACTTTTCATCAATTATAACTATTTCTATAGATTATTCAATAATTGTTTTTAAATTTGAACACAATGTTATCATAATGAAATAAATATTTGATTTAATTTTTTATATTTAATTCATTTCAGATAAATTAATAGAATTTAATTTATTTCTAGTTCTTCAAATTTATCAATCATATGGTATATAAACCTCTTTGGTATGAATAAATACATTAACAAAAATTTGGTAGAAAATTAAAATCCAATATTTTGCTTAGCTCTTCGTCAAATAAATGAGAATCTAATATTTAAAATAATTGGAATAGTATAATATATATTTGGTCACTATCATCCAAGAAAACCCATGTTAATAAATAATATCATCATTTCTATTTATTCCTTTTGTGTTTTGGATTATAGATGATTCGATCCATAGTGAATCAAGCCTTAAGCAACTGTGGTATCCCAATACTTATAATATTCTTATAATTCCATGAATAACGCTCATAGAGTATTAAGAATAAGATTTTCAATTAATACAATTTGCTAATAAATGAATTTTATACTTTTTCTTTGTAAAAATTATATATATTCATCTTTAAGTTTACAATACAAATTAGAAGATGAAAAAATTATATATGTATGATTCTAATATAATTGAGTGATGTTATTATTGTCTATGACTCTCTAAAATGGTTCAATAATAATAATTAACATTATCTGTTTCAATATTTTATTAAAATAAGTAGATTCTCTTGATTGTTGATACTTATAATCTTTATATAATCAAATTTCAGAATACTAAACAATTAATATTAAATTTATAAGAGATATCATTAAGTTTCAAATTTCATTTTGAATTTATGATTAAAGATGGAAAATATTTAATGATATCGGACTTAAAACCATTTTAAATTGATATTTTAGAATTAAATTAATTTCATTGAATAAAATATCAATATTATAAAAGCATTTCATAATATATTAAATTTACAATAGAAAAGTTAATAAATTATCAATTTAATGTAATTTATAGCATTTTAAATAACGAAGGAAAAGTTATAATATTTTTTGATTACTTTTTCTTCAAAATCTGTATTAATGGAAGTAGAACCAAATGAATTCATAATGCCCTTGTAATAAAATGTAAGATTGATAGTAAAGAATATAATATACATCTTATTAAGTAAAAATATATATTATTTTATTATATTGTTATTAAATATAAGTAAGAAAGTCGATAAGGGGGATATTTGTATGGAAGAATATATTCTCTAATAATTGACATGTAATAAAACTTAAGATAAATCACAAGAAATTATATTTAAGTTAGTTATTGAATGCAAAATAACACCTATCTTAAGCTTTTACTTGGAAGGAATTTTAATATCTTATCTTACAAATTCATTTCAAAAACAATTTGCTACTAATTTTATAGATATTAGTGTCTATTTTCAAGAAGAATTAGTTTGAAGTCTTATATTTTGCTTTAACTGGGTAATGAGATAGTATCAGCTACCTAAAGCAAAGCTCTGAACTAAACCCAGATGGTTTAGTATATTCTAACAATTTGCTCTTTTTCTAAAAATCAATTACAAACTTATCAAATGTAATACTTTAGAACTTTTTGTTTGGTTATCTATTGGAAAAAAATAACAAA